ATTCGAAACCCAGGAATTCATCACCCACTCATGCGCGTGGGTGTGTGAAAAGCGAAAGCCCAAATCAAAAAAACCCAAAAGGCGATAGGGTTTACTGGTTGTGGTGGACGACAGGGCACCCGATGGACCCTGCGGCGTTGGATAGGATTATTGAGAAGCTGATTGAAGTCCGATCCTCAAAGCCAGGGAAACTAGTGCAGCTTGCAGAGTCCGAGATTAAGCAGCTTTGTTTTGCGTCTCGTGAAATTTTCGCTGCCCAGCCAAATCTTCTTGAACTTGAGGCACCCATAAAGATTTGTGGTACAAGTTTTGGTCTTTTTTCAGTCTCTTTTTGTTCTTTGTTTTTTTTTTCTCTCTTCCGGGCTCTGTGTGTGAGGGTGTGCCTGGGCAAAGTACCTTGCTTTATGTGTGAAGGTGTGTTTTTTTTTTTATTTTTTATCTGTTTTTTATGTATATTTTTTGGTGGGCTTCGTTATACTGAAAGATTTTAGGGTTTTCTTGATCCGTTGTTTTTGCTTGTTCTAGGGTTATGGGTTATGAGTGTTTAGTTTAGCTTTTGGATTTGGTGATACTTCAGAGTGTAAGGCCTCTCCCTTTTAGGAATGTTTAGAAATTGTTGCTTGTTTGTGTGAGGATTATCGAATTCCACGACTGTTTGTTAAACTTCCTTAACCTTTATGCCTAACTTAACCTGACAAACCCTTTTGAGGATTTCTGTTGTAATACTTGTGTGAAATAACCTTACCGGGACATCTACATAGCTAGTGGCTGTATCTTTTATGTAGTTTTGCTATGGATCCATTGAATTGGCACACGCCTTATGGATCCATCAATGGCTATCCACCAATGGTGTACTGACATGTATCCTAATATAAATACACTTGAGATATGTGTCAAGAAAGCAATTTATGGATGACCGCTGGCTCCGTAGAAGTTCTAATCTTTTTCACTCCCACATTTCTAGAAACTGGCGTTATAGAGTTCATTTTCTAAAAGCTATCTGGATTGTTAATTGTTTGGAAATATTGATGTTTCATATTGCAGTGGCGCCCCCACCCGCCCATTTCGTTTCTTTTCCTTTCTATCTTTTTTTTTCTTTTTTTTATCATTTATGTTAGTTAAATTGATTTTCAGCACTCTTTCAATATCATTGTGTTAACTTGGAATGGATGCTGACTTGTTTTTAAGCAGTTTAAACTGTATATACATGTTTTCAGGTGATATCCATGGACAATATAGTGATCTTTTAAGGCTTTTCGAGTACGGAGGTTTCCCTCCGAAATCCAACTACCTATTCTTGGGTGATTATGTTGATCGTGGTAAACAGAGCCTGGAGACAATTTGTCTCTTACTAGCGTATAAAATCAAGTTTCCCGAAAATTTTTTCCTGCTTAGAGGAAACCACGAATGCGCATCCATAAACAGGATATATGGATTTTATGATGAATGCAAGCGCCGGTTCAATGTAAAACTCTGGAAAGCCTTCACCGATTGCTTTAATTGTCTGCCTGTGGCTGCCCTTATCGATGATAAGATACTATGCATGCATGGAGGGCTTTCCCCTGATCTTAACAACCTCGACCAGATTAGACACTTGCCCCGCCCGACTGCTATCCCGGACACCGGCTTGCTTTGCGACTTGCTCTGGTCAGATCCTGATAAAGATGCTAAGGGATGGGGAATGAATGATAGAGGGGTTTCTTATACTTTTGGCCCAGAAAAAGTCTCAGAGTTCTTGATGAAGCAAGATTTGGATCTCGTTTGTCGTGCTCATCAGGTTATGTTTGCCTTTTTTTTTTCTTTTTTATACATATTTTGCAATTTCAGGATGTTTAACTAACCAATGCTTTTTTTTGGACAGGTTGTGGAGGATGGGTACGAATTTTTTGCAGATCGGCAGCTTGTTACAATCTTTTCGGCTCCAAACTATTGTGGCGAATTTGACAATGCTGGTGCAATGATGAGTGTTGATGAAAACCTAATGTGTTCTTTTCAGATTCTCAAGCCAGCTGACAGGAAAAACAAGTTCATGATGTCCACTAAATTGTGATGCTTCACTATTGCTTAAAATATATCTAAGGTTGGCTCATGTCATTGAATAACAATTATTTATGAACTAATTGGATGATATAGAGAGAATCTATAATTTATTTTTATTCTCAAAAGTGAAAGCAAAAGTTCAGTTGAGGAAAAAGAATAGGTAGCAAGACATGGTACTTGACAAACCAACTTGTGGTTTGGTGTGCCATGCATGTTTACCTAGATCTATGCATGGTATTACATTTCGTATTGACAAAACGACTTATAGTAGTTGAGTTGTTTTTCTGTATAACATAAGATCGTTTTCGTTCTTAATTGCTACCTTTTGTTTAAAGTAGACACAGCTGTATGGTCTAATTTTTTTATCGAAGAATTGTCCTGATGCATGTCTTTGAGTTGGAGAAAAAGAAATCAAAGGTGTTATGTTGCCTAGATAAATTAAGTTGCCTAGATAAATTAAGTTGCCTAGATAAAGTAAGCATCAGTAATGTGTGATGCACTGTATTAGGGCTATGTTTGGTAGACAAATAAGGTAGCTTATAGATTATTTGGTTAGCTTATGAGCTCCTTGTATTCAAATAAGCTTTGTTTGGTAAAACGAGCTTTTTTAAAAAGCTCGAGCTTATTTGATAAGCTTCTTTGGGTAGCTTTTCAAATAAAGCTTGTTGAAATTTTTATATCAGTTAATTTTACAAACACTTTTATCACATAAGCTAGCTTTCACTTATAAGCTCGAAAATTACTGACAGCTACCAGCTAGCTTATCAGCTAATTGTACCAAACATAGCCTATAAGTACTGAAGAAAATAAACAAAACGCTGCCAATTGTCACACCTTAGAAGCTTTGATTTAGGAATTGCATTAAACCATGCACAATTTAATATATTGATGTTGTTTACTTCTTGGTTTATTGCCCTTCATGGCCTAAAGAAGTAAAAGAACTCATCAGCGGTGTCGGAGTCATTTTTATGAAGCCAAATATAAAAAGAATTACATCAGCACAAAAGTATATTCAGTTACTGCAATTTATACTCCTTTAATATACATGCGATGTCTGTCTTTAAATTATCTGTACTATTTGCAGCAGCCACTAAATTATTTCAAAACAGAATATTTTCAATATAATGCAGAGTCCTGCACTTAATTCTCTGCGTCTTTTCATATTTATTTCAAAGATTAGTTATAGATTGTGTTGTAAGAAGGATAGAGGCATGGGATTTGGAAACTGATGTATAATTGTGGAAGCCTTTTGACGAGATCAACATTTTTCTGTTGTCTAGTAATACTAGTTAACACATGAGATATAGGACAACACTAACATGATATTAAGGCGAGAATAACCCTGGGAGACGGTTTATTTCTAGGGTAAGATTAGTAAGATTACCAGTAAGCTTACTTCTAGTTTGACTTTAAATTCCCATTTCTCTTGGGGATGTTTCTGTATAATAAAAGTTCATTGTTTCGGCTATCATGCTCTTACATTATTACCATATAAATAGAATAAATTGGTTCATTAACCTTTTATGGATTAAACGATGCTTTTATACAATCGTCTCCTTTGGACCTGTAAATCCAAAACATAGTGATTCTCATTTTACTTTACAACAATCTCTGAAGTTGCATCTTGGATTGAGGAACACATTATTACTGTATGATTTTCTATCTGTTGTGTTTGGTTTTGTATATAGATCGACTCCTAAATCATCTCAGAATAAAATAGCCTCGGATTTCTCTGTTTTTCTTGCTATGTTTACTTAATTCTTATGGTTGCATTTTTCTCATGACAGGAACCACCTTTTTATTATTAGGAAAAAGTCCCTGGAGAACCCACAAGAGTAGAGATTAAGAACCTGGTTAAAGCTTTCATTTTCAAGAATTGCCTTTTGAATGAACCTTTGTAGGTGCCAACTTTGAGATGTGCAAAAGCTGGACGTTGTGCTCGTCTTACTTCACCCCTTTCGGAAATGGTGTCGGAAAGATAAAATTGTTTGCAAGATTAAAAAAAAAAATATCATGTGCACTTAGAAAAGGTCAACTTTCTGTACTTTTGTCTGAGTATTTGCTGGAAGAGCCATCATGAATGAGGTTCTTTGTTTTATGATATATCTTTAGGTAGGGATATTGTCATTTACTATCGAACTAAATTGCGAGAGGCATCGTCCATTGAGGGCTACTAGTTGCTTTGAACTCATTCGTTTCTCTTTTTTATTTGGTTCTACGATCCTTTAACCTTCTTAACATGGAAAACACTGACACTGTTACAAACAGTTTGGTAGATTGTTTTGCTTAAGGGGCTGTCTTTTTGACATAGGATCGGACTTATAGTGAGTTCGATACTTGTGAAATTGAGTAGAGTTGAACTTACGCCAGGCGTTTTGCACTTACATCATAGTTCTGTCTTCGAATTGTGGCCTGGAGGTGAAATTGAGTAGAGCATAATGGACCAACTGTATATTGTTAAAATATAGTATCTGGAAAATTTAGCTCACAACGGCCCTAATGAAAATAGATTTTCACTTATAACGAACATATGCAGCCCCATATTTGCTTAATAAATATACATACTCCAAAAATATAATAAAGAATACAATGAATTTTAAATTAAGAAGATGAATTTTCGTTTCAACTATAACTGTGAATCGAATAACTTAATCGCAATATCAACAAAAAGGACAAATTTTCTGGTACAGTTGCAGAAGCACAACTGGCACTTCAAAATGTATCAGCGTGGATACTTTTTGGAGAAGGTGACCAGAGAATGAATATTTGGCCTCATAATCAGGAACGAGACCGAAAAATTTCAAATGCAGAGAAATGTCACCTCTTGATTAGTCGCAATACATCACCAACTAGATGCAATGAACCCGTCACTAGAACCTAATAAAAGCAAAGATAGAAGTGAAACTACAGTGAACGAATAAAACGATTGCGAAATCAAAAATAAAAATAATAAGCAAGAAAAACGAAGGTTGCTTCATAGTGCGTTTGAAGTTGTAATTCGATGAAAATGAATTAAACATTACTTGAAAGCGAACTGATTGATTTCTGCGGACATTGTCCCGAAGCCAATTAATAGCTAGAGGGAGCGAAGTGAAAACCGTGCTGTTCTCAGAATTACTAGTAGTTTTCTCTGTATCTTCGACAATTGCTTCACACGTCAAGTCTACATTCTTTACTTCTCGTCCTGTAATATTTTGAGACGAAATGAAATTTATTTGATATAAACATCAACATCTAGTGTGTTCAATCTTTAAAGGAAATGAACAGAACAGAAAAAAGAAAACAAATGAAAGTGAACTTTTCTGTGTGCAACATCTTAGAAGAAAGATTGGACTCTGCTCGGCTCCACGAAAAGGAAGGTTTTTAAATCAATCAAACATAACAACTACAGAGAACTAATATACCCTTTTCCCCATGAATGAGACTTTCCCATAATTTCTGAAGAGTTATCTGCCAAGAAACGTCAATTTGAGTGTCCGCTGAAGGCGAGTCAACAGTACCCACCTTGTAATACACTGATGTGTTTGGAACAAATAAAGCCTTTTTGAAGTGAACTCCTGAAAGCATCAAAATATAATAAAGCATCAGAAGATGGTACCTTGATTTGTTTCTTTTGTTATAGGTTTGCCCTTTTTGTTCTTTTCTTTCCCTTTACTTTTTTTCTTTCTTTTTTTTTTCGTGTTCTGTACACTTTGAAATCCATTAGAAAGTCAGTTACCATGACTGGCACATGCACCCATGAGGCGTGGAAGAAGCAATTGAGGGTCCCGCACCGACATACAATTGAACAACAATATCTGCACAATTGAGAGCAAATTAAGGTCACTACCATCCATTAGAGACTAACTCGTTCATTATGGAAAGAATATAGAACGAATTTTGGCTATAAAACACACATCAGTTTCCACAACTCTAAAAGACCTAGCTTGTAGCACATCTAACATTGTTTATATATCATTCATATTCTTCTATTTTAAACTTATAACCATTTCCATGGCATTACACTTTCCTTGGTAACTGGGAACTTCTCTCCACTTTAAATTGACGCTAGTGATGCAACCAAAACAGATTTATCAAACAACCACAAATGTAGAATAGCAAGTGTATTGGATCACTGAACAAGAGATGAACGGCTGCGATGAGCAGGTACCAAACATTCAAATGACACGTGTACTTGGTTATAGAAAACAGAAAATATGCAAGTGTGGAATTTTATCTAGAGGTAGGTGTCAACTACAAATTGACACATAAATAGAAAGAGTTTGTTCTTACATAAACGGAAGCTTTTATCAGTAGTAATTAAAAAATGCCCCTTCTGAACAAAGTCAGTTCCACAAAAACATATATATCATCAGCTTCCAGGACTTGCGAACAACTTTTCAGAAATTACATTTACATAGAAATCATCACTACTTTGATGCTACATGGATGTCATTTTCGAAAATTCTTATCATGGATACAAGCCCTGTTATTCAGATAACAGGTAGAATTACACGTCTCTGTCTACTGGTAAAAAAAAAAGCATAATGAGTTCAAGCGACACTGACAGAGCCTCTTAATCGTATCCTGCTTATACACAGTTCCCCCCATCATAAATCTTCAAAATTCACGTCCAGAATTCCTTCTTGCAAATAGTTTTTCAACTTCCATAGGTTTTGAAGCACCATACCGAACATAAGCTTGAATGCTATTAATATGAACTTCAAATAGTTTTCTTTGTTACATGACACTGAGATGCATCATATAGGACTCGATAGCTCTAGCTCTCTTACTTCTTTCTACTCAGCTAATGTGCTTATGTAAAGATTTCATCAGTTTTCAAAACTCAATTTCCTATTAGTTAATCTCCATTAATCATAGATAAAATTCAACATCTACATTTCAGGGTGTACAAATGCCTAACTTGAACTGATTTAAGGCCGCTAAGATGCACTGAATCATGAAAAACTCAATAGACTTGACACACAGATTTTAACTTTTCTGAAACTTCGTCAGAATAAAAGTAATATTTTGAAAGAATATCTAACCTGAGTTGAATGTTTTCTGAATGGCCCATTCTTTTCTGATTCATGCAGTCTCCCAGAGTCACAATAAGACTGCTTATAAGAAGATTTACAATCTTCCTTGGTCGCAAGGCAAAACCATTTTGCACATACCTCCATGCTCTCAGGACTATGGGCACCATCCAAGTAGAACACAAGATCACCTGAGCTCTCACTCTCAATGAACTGATCGGAGACAATTTGAGCACGCCCTTGCAAAGAAGCAGTAGCTAATCCCCTAATGAACTCCTCCGGTAGAGAGGTCTGCATGCACGTCGCCAAGCCGAATAATAATTGCTTCAATACAGGAATGCAGTAATAATAATACACGACCCAGTTCAGTTGAGCTTACAGTCTGATTTAAGTAATTGATTCCAACATGGCCGGAATTATGAAGCCAAGTTGAGCATAGTGCAATTGCAAGGCTAGCATTCAAATACTGGTGCTCCCCTTCAAGTCCTAGATGTAGACCACTTAGCAGGCTAGGATCTAAAGGAGCAACCACTTGAAGATTTACCTGCTAGTAATAGCTTACTCGGTGAATATATTAGCTCAAAATGACAGACAAACACATCTGGCTGAAAATAACTTTGAGCAACAGCCAGTACGTAAAACGCCATCATAGAAAACAGGTCTACATTCTTTACTTGAAGGGCGACCAAGTTATCAAGAATTTCGCATAACACGAATACCGGAAGTAATTTGTTAAAATCTGTATCTAATTTCTAATTCAGAGCAATCTTTTTCCATCCTATGCAATTTGCTCTGATGAAATTCCTAAAAAAAAACAGGTCTTCGATCAGTCGATCCTAGTCCATATAATTTCACACCTTTGGGTTCTAATATTGACGACAATTACTACTTGTTCATAGTAAAAGCAACGAATTATCCTTAGCAAGACATAAATCAGGCACTGCCATAAAGATGCGTGATAAATATTAAGGCTGAGACTTGAAACCCACAATTCTACTTCAGCATATAACTAAAGCTAGTGGGGAGAAATTGTAACTTACATCTAGTTGTGAAGCCTTCTGTTCAAGGACCATCATGGCTTCTTCTGGCTGTGGTACGGTAAAGGCTGGTACACCACTCTAATTATTTAAAAAAAAAAAAAAAATGGATTACGCAAAAACAATGCCATGAAAAAGGAAATTGACTTTTTTTTTTTCCAAGTAGGGAGGAGTAGATGGAGGGAATAAGAATCATAGAAGCTCAAAGACTCTCAAGTGCTACTCAACAACCTACCGAAGGGTGAGCAAATCACTTGAATTACGATGGTCGTGTACAACAAACATTTGACGACTCCAAGAATTAGTGATCATGACAAAAGAAGAAAGTCAACCACCATACCTTGAAAATCCCAGCCTTTTCCCCAGCAATTTGTCCAAGGGTATTACCTGTACAAGTTTATAAAATAAATGTGTCATCTTCTGTGAGAACAAAGAAACATATCCATCATCTGTAAAGTTGAGCAAAACCGCTCCAGATACCAAATCAAAGGACTTTGGTAGGCAAGAGGAAGAAGAAGAAGAAAAACAAAAAGGACAAGGCAAGTGAACTACAGTCATTTTCAGTTTTGAGATCAACCTGGTGGCCAGGTACATAGAAGATCTAAAAAACTATTATTAAACCAAAACTCCATTGGCAATTTTCAACAACTTCTTACAGTTAATAAAATTTCCTTATTTTTAAACTAATTCCAAAGTGATCTAGTTGTTTACAATATTTTATAGCCCCTTGATATTTGGTTTTATTTTACAAACCGCACTAAAGAAATGAGTAAAAATATGCGGCAGACATCCCCACTCTCCAGAAAGATGCACAAATAATATTTTTAGACCTCACTCCTTCTAACTAAAGAAAATGTCCACTCCCTAGTTATTCATGTCAAAGTTTAAGCTAATTACTCAGATCAGGCAGTCACCTAAATATCATGGGGAGAAAGCACTAACCAAGAATTTCCATGTGATCATACCCTAGAGAAGCAATACCACAGACAATTGGTTTCTCAACCTGAAAAGAACACAATAATAATGATCCTAATATCCACAAACCAGAAACCTTTTTACAAGAAATAACAAGTCTAAATATGACAATAATGTCATTTCTAACTGAGTATCCAATACATACCACATTTGTAGCATCAAATTTTCCACCTAAACCAACTTCCAAAATGACAACATCTACCTGGATACAATAATATGAAATGAGAAAATAATTTCAGAAAACAACTCAGCGAGTAAGATAATACAGCTAATATCACCTGCTCAGCTGCAAAAATCTTGAAGGCAAGCAAGGCAAGGAAACGAAAATATGTTGGCATGGGTATCTCATCAGAGGTTCTTTCCTACATTGCAAAAATAACATTGATAAGGAATGATGAAGCACAAGAAGGCCCATCAGAAGCATAGGACCAGTATCACATGTGAATAAACCAAAGTACAAATTTCTTCAGTGGTTAAGAATTTTAATATCAAACAATAGGTTATTCAATATACTTGTCAGTGCTTTAAGAAATTTATTATCGGCCTGAAATTTAGACTTGACTTATTTATTAACTAATTGCAGTGGAAAATTAATCAATTCGAACAAGACCATCTTGGCATCTCGCCTACATGATTGCTACATATTAGTTTATCAAGCAGAGTGATTACGTATCTAGCAGAGAGGTTAACTCAGTTATTCAGTCTCACTCTGATATTTGATTAAGTAATCCACCTAAACAAAGAAATTCCATCTGAACTTTCAGTTTATGTGCAACAAAACGAAACGTTTCACTGACGTTTATGCTTTAGTTATATGTGTTCACTGTTTAGGCTCTGAACATTTAAACTGGATTGCTGGTGATGAAATACTTACGCATGATGCTATGTGCATATTCCTAAGATCTTTACAAAATGCGAACGGCTGCCAGAAAGGCATGGCAACTGAATAAAGGCTACTAGCGTCTTAATAAGAGACCAATATGTACTATATTTCTGAAGGAAACAATCATGAAAATAGATATTGTTTTATTTCTCAAGTTTCGTTATGAAGAATTTGTTTTCTGAATTAAAGCATGAGGCAATATACAGAGAAGAAAAACTCAAGCTTTTATTTTAAAGCAGTCAGATAATAGAGTTTAGAAAACAAAAAAATAAAAAATAAAACCATTTTGACAGAATAATATTGTAGAATAAAGGACTGAACATGCCTTCAGCCGATCCCAACACCACCAGAAGTATGCCAAAAACTTCTCTTCAGGAATCTCTAACCTGATATCAAAGAAAAACAAATAAACAAAGTTACAAACCAATAAAAAGTTTACCTGATCACAGTCTTTCGTACTTGAACCCATCTTACAGAAGATGCAAGTAGATAATAAAATAAAACCCTCTTTAATATGTTGAGAGGCAAGCATTCTACTTGTCTGCCATTTGTAAGCACGTACCCATCCAACCTAAATCTTTCTCGAACATCAATGAGATGAGGGGAGGTGAACAATCCAGTACGGAAGCCACAATTTCGCAGAATAGATTCTGCAAAAGTGCAAGTTGACCCCTTCATATCCAGGAACATGAAACAAAAAGCCGTATCAGTTCTTGGAATTCAATATCGATTAACACAGAAAACCGAAATAATAGACCACCAGGCTTCCATCAACTCAAAATCCAAGAAACTGAAAAACACTATCTGAATTCATTAACCCACCTTTCCTTTAGTGCCGGCCACATGAACAATCTTCATCTCTTTTATCTGTTCCTCTAATTCCAATATCTAGGTTTCACCATGCAAAGAAGACAAAAGGGTTGCAGTAAAAGACTAATTACAAGGAATATACTTGCGCGCGCGCGTGTGTGTGTGTGTTATACCCCATTCGCACAACAAAAAATGACATGCACAGGATACGGGGAAAACAGAGATACCTTCACATAATCAAACAATAAGTCGAAACGATCGCCTTTGTTCTTCTTATCAGCCCGACTGCGCTTTGTTATCAGTGAAGACAGAGCATCCATTGCCTCGTCATACTTGGACAACGATGACTTTTCTGACCCGTTCCCAACTTTAACAATGCCCAATGACATCAGAAACCCGCCATATACATAGATATATCACAATAAACACACACCCACACACACACACACACACACACACATCAACGTCATCCCCATCATCATCATCATCATCATCATCATCATCATACATCAAATTCGCATTGAAGCAGTATACATAACACAGAAACAAACTGAATAACATGATTTCTCTATAATTTTCAATTTTTTTTTTTTTTTTTGGCAGCAATGTAATTGATACAATGAGTAAGGAAAAAACGGTAAAGTGGAATGATTTTTGACGGGCAAACCTGGAGACATTTCTTCTGATTTAGCAGCACGAAGGCTTCTTCAGGGTCCGAAACTGTGAATAGTTAGATACAGATACAGAGGCGCACATATATGCGCAGCCATGGTTGGTGAAGGAGAAGATGTGGATGAATAAGATTGGATTTGTTCCTCTGAAAAGCTTTTTGAACCTCGAAAACAGAAAACCAACTCCGTTAGAAAGCGTGTTTTTGCTTCTTTGAGTCTTCATAAACGCTAGTCACTATGCACTAGGCACTCGATATAAACTATACTAGTACCGTGCAAATGCACGGGACCTACGAAAACAAATTATTAAAAAAAAATGTAATTCATATAAATATATAACAGCTAAATTTTATTACTAGTGAACATTTGTAATTCATATAAATATATAACAGCTAAATATTATTACTAGTGAACATTTTCTTATATACAACGTTTTTCATCTTTTTTAATCAATAAATCAATGTTTTGAATTAGTAACTATTAAACTAGTAATTAGTAAAGTATGTAGTTGTTATTATTATTATATTGTGATTATTATTTAATTGATAGATATCTAGATGGGATGTAATTCATATAAATCTATAACGAATTAAATATAAATGAACACTTTCTTATATATAATGTTGTCCGTCTTTGCGAATCAATAAATTAAAATTATTGAATTAGTAACTATTGAATCAGTAATTAGTAAAATATATAATAATTATTATGTTGTGATTATAATCTAATTGATAGATATCTAGATGGGATGTTTCGTAATTAAAAATAGTGTAATTGAAATTAGTGTGAATGTGTTTTACAAATAGAGGAAACTTTAATTGTTCATTGAATTGTTTGTATTTGTTAACATATTGTGATGTAGCACTCAGAAGTAGCTCGGCACACCGGTCTTAGAGAGGGTTAGAAGAACTCCAGCATATAGAAGCAAGATGCTCGGTCAGGTAGCTCAGACTAGGGCTTAAGGTACCGAGCTTACAGAGCAGACATGACCTGGAGGTACCGGCCTCCAGGAGCCCGACAAAGTAATCGACCTCAATATATCGAGGTCGGGTCGTCTGAGGACAGGTTAGACCTAAAGACGAGGTCTGGTTAGACCTCAAGACAAGGCCAGGTACGTCCTCGAAAAGGCCACGATAGGCAGATCAGTAGGTCGAATTTACGACATGAGGATCCATGGGCTAAAACAGTAAAAGGGAAAAGAATCCAAGTAGAAAGAAAGAATCGCTCGCTCAAGAACTATTACCAAAATAGATATGTGGTAAATTAGGGAAGTAGAATCCGATTGCATCTCTTCCCTAACAAGATATCTCTTCGGCCCTAAAATATTAATTAAGTCCTATAAAAGGACGGCATGCTCTCTCATTCAAACACACAATCTAGACTTTATGTTTTATATCTTAATTGTATACGATTGAGCGAGTTCTGACTTGCGTCAGATAGTTTTCTGCTGGTGGGACCCACTTCGAGTGTACTGCAGGTTACTGAAGGCTCAAGGAGGAGAATCGAAGGCGGGAAGTGTTCAATCCATTTGTAGGCTCAACGAGGAGAATTGCTCAAGGCGGGAAGTGTTCAATTAATCCGTTCGTGACCAAATGTGACGTAACAAATTCGCTCAAGGCGGGAAGTGTTCACGTTGAATTTTCTTTCCACTTGGAGTTGGTTAACTTTCAATATATTAACTACTTTGAATTTCTTATTTTTAATGCACCACTTGAATCCTCCAAATAAAGAGAGAATCTATATCTCTACTATACATATAATCCAACATTGAAGAACAATTGTGGGCTTGACATGT